TGTATATATTATATTATTTTTTTTTTTTTTATTGGATAACCCGCGGCAACATAGGCCATTGGGTGTTAGTGGTTTATTTTTGTGTGTTGTTATGTCGGTAGGGGGAGGAACACGTGTGTGTTGAGTTTGGCAGAATTTTGAATGGGGCACCCGTAGGTTTCTGCCATGCCCCGGAGTGGGGGATGGCGGCACTTGTTCTCCGGACACCGTGACTTGCCCGGAGAAAAATACCGCCCAGTGGTCGAGAGGATCGAACCCGCGTCCGCCAGCGCCGCAGACGACGTGTCCGACCGCTCGGCCACCTCGTCCCCATTATATTATTATTATACAATATAATACGCATTATCAGAGCAGAATATAATATTATAATGTATCGATTCAATTATAGGTATATTGCGTTAGATAATTGATATTCAAAATAAAGTTAACTAATAATCAAAACCAACAAATTTAAACACATATAGTTATAGGTAATAATATTATTCTATTGACGAATGCACAACTAAAATTAAAATCTATAATTAATATCAATAACATTTTATTTATTGGGTCAAAAAGCGTGAAAACGTAATACTAGGCTACTGATGTATTGTTACAATAGCAGTTAATAAATATTATTAAAAATACATAGGCACAATATTTTTTTATGAGCGTTTAAATTTCGATTTTTGAGAACGTTTATCAAAATTTAAAATATAAAAACGATTTTGTACTTAAAATGTATACAATTTTGAAATTTTAAAGTTACCGATTGAAAATGTAAAACACGGTTCCATATAAATAGATAAATAACTTACTTTATTCACAATAATATCATCAAATATACTTTGTAATATCATAGGCTAACTGGTCTTCGATCAGAATCGTTTTTCGTATACAATGATATTATATCATTGAATTAAAATTTAACACCATCCACTATAGTGACCCACTAGCTAACTAGTACTAACTTACTGTACAGCAGAGTGACACCCACATATCCGCTTTTTTTTTTTATTAAAAATTATTAATTTTTTAACTCTTGCAAAAAAAAAATACAAATAAATGAGGGTAGGTACAGATGCGTATACGGTTTAATAAACTGCAGGTAATCAATATAATATTATGAAGTTTCAATAATATGCCGATTCGTTGAGTTTTGTACAAAAAATTCTCTCGGGTTTTTAAATAATTTCCGTTTATTTGAATTCATAAGTAGATGGTAATTGAATTTTTTATCGTATTATAAAATACCTAATACTGCTTGTTATGACCAACAAATAAAAAAAATCTTATTAAAGACCAACGAATGACAGCGATTGTATTGTATGTAATAGGTATATTAATCTGCACAGTGCCGTAAAAACCGGGTGTGCAAAGTGTGCACCGCACACAGGCCTCGGGCCTCATAATATATCGAAGGGCCTCAAAAGATCTAAAGACTAATATTAAACTAATATAAAATTATTAAAATATATAAATTATTTATTATTGATTTGGAAAGGAAACCAATGTTATTTCATTTTTTTTTTTATATAGCATGGAGTCGTGATCACTGTTTTTAGATTTTGAGAAGAACGAAAAAATGTATTGATTTTACAAGATGTGTATAATGTTTTTCATTTCGGTCGTCATCAACATTGGGTAGTAAAAATATTCCGAATTTCGAGATCAGCAGGTTTTCTGTTGGAAAAGTGGATCTAGTTGGTACTTTTTGGAGATCGAAACCGACATTTTTAGTTTTAGATATTACAAAGCGTCAATAAAAAAAAAAAAATTTGTCATTTTTACCTAAAACCAAAAATTTTATTTTTTGGTATAACCCGAAAACTAATAAACGTAGACCATTGAAGTTTTCACCAAATATTTATATAAATATTTTCAATAAATTACATTTAGGAAAATTTTTACTTTTTTCAGTTAGCTATAGCCTTGAGAAATTGTTTTAAAATTATAGATTATTTAAAATTTTTTTTTGTGTAAGCCCGAATTTTTGTCTGCTGACTTTAAAAATTGCAAAAAAAAGTTTTTGAAGTGAAAAAGATAATAAGGGGCCTCAATATTTTGGTTTTGCACACAGGCCTCAAGTAGCCTAGTTACGGCACTGAATCTGCACCTACGTACTAAAAATATTTATCAATAAAGTCAGTCTAATATATATTAGTTATAAATACATTTAACGATAGATATTCAACTAAAATTGCAGAAGATTAATTTCTCACTTCTGATATAAAAATATTGCAGTGGAGATTCTAGCGAAATTAAAATTGTTTATACTTACGTAAGTAATGTTTTCAAGTGTTCTAGTTCATTTTTCAATTCATCTGTTGATATTATCTACATTAAAATATATTAATCAAATTAATAAAAATCTTTTAACAATAATTATGATATAATTGCATGAATTTTTCAAAACTATACTTATACTAAAAATAGGTTCTATATTCATTATTTTTAATAATATACTGGTTTTAATAAATCATATACAATTGTATTGTTGTTTGTTTTGAATCTGGGGAATTCACAACACCTGTGATAATTATATTATGCACAGTGAAATGAAATATTATTTTTTTTTTATATAATGAGATTGTTGAAAAATATTAAAATTAAAGCATCCAAAACTAATAAAAATATATTAAAATCCGTTTACTAAGCGGTATCAAACGAGCTGTTTAATAGTTATCGTGTCTTCAACAAAATCAATTACCTATATAATTTTGCACCATAAAATCGCACTTATTTAATAGTGTAATACGCAAACTTATCAGGCAAACAAATAATTATTATGGCATATAGATCGTTATTTGCAAGAAAATAATTATGAGTTTTATAGAAAAATTCAAACTCGTTAAAAACTAACGGCACGAGGTGAAGAACAAACTTTTGTCGGGTCGACGGTAATAAATGTAGTAACACGAACCACGATTAGATGTAAGATATTTAATAATGGACGATTATTGCGACTTGTTTATGGATCACAGATAGAAATGGTTTTATTTTTAAAATAAATATTATTACTTAATTTTATATAAGTACTTATTATACGAATGAGCAATGACGATTTGATAACGTTCCAAACTCATTTCGATCGATTTCGACACGTCGTCATCCGGTCACTGATACGATTCATATTCCATACTTACCTCCCCAACACCACCATTCACGAGGACAGCGTTTCCATGGTAAATGTTGTAGGTAATCTGATGAAAAAACTATGTTGTCAAAGAACCAGTGATGAAAAAGAAAAAACTAAAAATTCGAAAACTGTACTACTTTTTACTTTTTTAGTATGAAAATTATTATTTAATCAAAAACAAAAAATGTCTTTATTTTAAAAGTTGACCGGAAATATGAGTCTTAAAATTATAAGTACTTAAATAAAATATATAAAATATATAAAATTAATATAATTTTACAATGTTGATAATTTATTGTTCTGAAATCTGTAAGACGGTATAAACAATTATTGTTATGGGTTTCGTTATATAAAAGCACTACTAATTAAAATGCTTCTAATATTATGTTTATAGGAAATACCTTCTTTTTTTTTTAATCTTGAACTTTAAAAATATAAATCGTTACGAAATCCACTTAAAATCTCAAAAAAATATCCCATGAAATAAAACAAATTTGTACAGTGTACCTATAATGTTGTCTCATTTAAAAGATTTTTTTTAAAAATAGTGAAAAAATAAAACTTTTCTTAAATCTCGATTATTATTTTGTTCACGACTTCAAATACCCATGTATGAAAACCTATGTTAAAGGTTGATACTTTTTGAAAACGGCGGTGTTTGCTTTAAAAACGATCAGCCCGTATATCATGTTATTAAAAACTCATAGCGTGCGTTTATACTCTTGTTCACAGGTGGTCTGTACCTGGACGACAACCCCCTGCAGTGCGACTGCGGGCTCCTCTGGCTGGGCCAGTGGCTGCGTCGGTGGCTCCGGGAGGTGGTGCAGGTGCACACCCTGGGCATGGCCGAGACGCAGCTGGCCCAGTGGACGGCCCGGCGGGCCACTTGCGCCGACCCCATGAACGGAGGGGCCCGGGTGCCCGTGGCCGACATCTACACGGAGGACCTGCGGTGCAAGGCGAGCGCGCTCAGTGGCAGCGGCACCGGCAACACGGCGGCCAAGACGTGCACCTGATCGTCTGCTTGGCCCGTTCGCTGGCAGTGTTCTACCTGGTCACCGTCTGGTGCAACGTTTACTGAACAAACGACAGGAGACTTCGCCGACCGTTCACCAACGCGTACTTATATAAACTTTATAATATTATTATGTCACTGTGCTGTCGTATAAGATCGTGTTTTCGTTGTCGTACTGTCGTGGCCGTATACTGTCGTTGTTCGGAGTCGGTGACGTCCTCGGTGAGACAGCGGGGGCAAAAGGAGGACTCTCGTGGTCATTTTCGTTTTTTTTTTTTTTATCGTTCTACTCTTAGGTACTATTTTCGACCAGCAATATGTATAGTGTATATTATTATATCGAGTTCAATCTTCCCCCACCCCTAGAAATCGGACTGGGGACGCCACTGGCCCCGACTATACACACCCCCTCGGGACCCACTGCCAGTGATGCGCGACTCGGATTGATGATAGCGCGTGTGTGGTGGGTAAGGCTGTGTGCGTATTGTAGGTTCGGGAAATCATTTTCTAATCAATTTTTAAACGATACCTTATATTTGCCTCACTTCTTCCGCCACCGCTGAAAGATTACGCCTGTATAGTTGTAGGCGAGCGCTGTCATTGAAAAAAAATAAATGTTATCACTCTGTTTTATTCTCAACGTCGTTGGTCTGAGTGCAGACCTCGATCGTTCCCATCGGAGGAATGGTTTACCACCCCCTCCGCTCCACTTCACTTGTCACAGCGCTCCCTGCACGTACGGGGTAATGGCGTTGTATTTGCATACGAGCGTGACCCACCACGACCCGCTAAAATGTGAGCTATTTTCCTAATCGAAACATATTTTCCCACATTCACCTCCGACCATTAACACACACACATCAGAAGTCACGTCGTCATATTCCTGATCGTATAATACTCGCACGGTCCACCCTCGACGAGTTTTGGTCCGGACCAAGACCCTTGCCGTCCCACCCCGACAACGGCACCGGCGGACGACCTCTTCCCACTATACACCATGGTTAAATTGTTAAGGATTTCTTTTTGTTTACCGTCTGATCGCAGGATACACGTTCGCAAAGAACCCTTCATAATGCATGCAATTTCGTCGTCTTGACCATGATAGTCGCCTAGTGAATTCGCGAAATTACCATTTGGATTTGTATATATTATGTTTTTATTCGGTAATATTTCGTCTTCAAGGGGAAAACGCACCGGACGTTTCGAATATAACATAATGGTATACCTACGGATTTTCAGGTATTCCGAACGGTTAGTTATTATTCCATTATTATACCATTATCTATACTTATAAGAATGTTTTAGGTACTGTATGAAACCGACTATCATTATTTATTACGGTCGAAATAATATTACGAGGTTTGCGATAATACAATAATATTATGTTTCAATAAAATATCAATTAATTTTGATAATCGCAGATTTTTTTAATTTTATGTACCAAATAAAAAAATTTGAATTCCCTGATCTAGGTAATAAAAATAATAAAATAATATTATAATAAATAATAAAAAAAAACCTATTTTGTTTCTTTAACATAATATAAAATGATTAATAAAATAATTTTATTTCGATGATACAAATTACCCCTTGAAGAAAGGGTATCTATTTTACGGTCCGTAGTCGTTTTTTTTTTCAAATAAACGCATTCATTCATTTGAATATTAAAAAACAACTCGTTATACCAGAGTAATGATTGCGTCCCATACTACATGGTTGGTTGACATTTTACATGCGATTTTTATGTTTTAAAATAATGTGTATATACCTATATAAAGGATTCCGTTGTATAATATATTGCAGTTTATTTGTAACATGCAAATGTTTGCTTTAGTTGAATTGATTAAATCGGTACATATTATTATGTGGACTGCAAAATATATGTGCTACCGTATACAAACACGGGGACGTCAGATAGATTCCGATTGAACTACCCTGGATACAATTATTTATCCATATTTTATTTCCGCCGTGGAAGCGTAAAACGTGTAGGTTGGTGAAGGTCCTTCCGTCTGATATTAATGAAATTTAATAGGAAAAAAAGTCCTTAAAAAAATCACAACGAGATCTAGTAGTTTTATCTACTATTTTATAGCAAACTCAAGTTAGTTACGGTTGACCAATTTGTATCTGAATAGTTTTCAGTCCTTTGACCGTATTCAAAACGAGTCATATTTTATGTAAAACAAAAAAAAAAAAAACGAAATGAAAAAAGGTACATCTTTTTTATATCTTGGAAGTGGACTTTTTTTATTTTATTTTTTTTTTAAACTGAATTGAAAAAAAATCTAAACCATTAGATCGACTTGCGATCATAGAAAAAACATCAAAAACGATAAAAAATAAATAAATAAAATAAATTTGTTTTGTATGTACTATGTTTATAATATATATAATAATATAAGTACAATAATATATATATTGTTGTTCAGTGAATATTTCGCGTGTACTATTCACACGATGAAGGAATAAACATTATAATGTTGTTTTGTTAATAATTCGTGTCCTTCAGTGCGCCACTTTATCCTTCCAATTATTTATATTGTACGGTAGATTTATGTATCATTTGTTTTTACTTTTTAATCCAATATAAATATATATAGTTTTTGTTGATAATATAATATAAACCTGTATACATGTAATGCTTACAATTTAAGACAGCTTTGTTTTGTAAATAATAAAAAACATGATTATTTAAATATGATAACAATACTATGTGTATTTAATTTCGACCACATCCTTTCAGTTCTCATTCAAAAGTATAATAATATACACCAGCACCACTGAATATTTTTTAATTTTCAGAAATATAAAATAAATTAGTTTACTATTTTTTATTTTATTTTTAGTTACATGTTTGTGGTGATAATTGGATGTTTTTTTTTAACAACTGTAAATACAAAGACTCTTAGACAATTTGTGAAAAACTAATGGAAAATGTTTTCACCTTTCATTATTATAAATATAATTTTATTACAACTTATAATGATTCAATTAAATGTTCTATACTTAATATAGTTTATATTTCAATACAATCGTCCTGGATTAAAAATTGAATAAAATCAAATCATGGCAATCAATTAATATTAAATAACACAAAAGGAGTACAAAATAAATATGACGTTATATTTTATTTCATTAAAATTATTCAATGTACCATAAACAAGTACGACTTTGCAGGAAATAGTGGGTTTCAAAATATTTCAAATTTAATTTTAACAGCCTTGACCTCGATAAAAACTTTTTTGACCATTTAAAACGTATTGTCAACTTTTTTGACTTTTAAAACAGTATAATACTGTAATGATATCAACGTCATTGCACCTACACAGTTTCATGACGTAATATCATCATAACACTATTAAATATTTTATTACCAAAAAACCACAATTATAATATGTACCCATGTACCCATTATGTTACCCAAAATTAAACACAACAACAACAATCACACTCATTATGAAATCAAATCAATATACAATATCCAATAAACACTATCAAAACATAACAAATATATGTACCCATGTACCCCGATATAATTCAAAATGTACTAAAAACTATTAATAAGTAATAACCATATATAGATACAAATGTACAAATGTCACTAAACTTACAATAACATATTTTGATTATACCCATGTATATATGCAAAAATAAACAACAACAATTTAATATGGAACAACAAGGTACAAAGATCAATACTATAAGTAGAACCCCCATTTTTGATACTCAGACCAGTCTATGCACATCATTCAACACTGTCATACGCAGTTTGTCATATGCACCGTCTTAACTCGCCATATTCAAAAAGTGCTTATTAACTTAAAACACCGTCACCTCAAATCTTATAAAATCTTGTTGTGAAGTATTAAAATAACTTATATTCAACCACAAATTGTACTTACATTATTTTAACAATATCTATACCATCAACACCTATTTCAAATTCCATCGCTGTTTAGCTCAAGGAACATCAACCAGGTAATAAGTTATACAATAAAATACTTGCACAATTCATATTAAAGAAAACATCATCAACGATACACTTAGTTAAGACACGCAGACTCAGGAGCTCCATAAATCATCATATCCCTCGTTTATAAATCTATACACTCACGATCCCAATCAATCGTAATAATTATATGCTTTAATTTATAATAAAAGATAGGATAAAGAAAGTCGACATTCAAAATCCCTTTAATTATTATTTATTAAAATAGCTAACTATACCAACTTAGTTAATATATTATTATAAGGTGAAGTTTTATCAATAGTAACGCGCATGCTTATTTTTAAATCATCACAAAGTGGCGCCCAACAACAGTGACTCTCATTCTAAAAAGATTTAAATAAACTTAGGGATTTCACTAAAATAATCCTGATCAGATTATTTTTATTAATTTTTTCTTCATAAATTAAATTAAATACATAGTTCATATTTAGCTAACAAATAATCTATTTTTCTTTTAACAACCAAAGAACGTTGTTTAAAATTAAAAACTTAAAAAAATTATAGTCCAGATTTACTAACAAAAATATACCCAATTTTTTTTAACAACCAAAGAACGTTGTTTAAAATTAAAAACTCAAAAAATTTATAGTCCAGATTTACTAACAAAAATATACCCAATTTTTTTTAACAACCAAAGAACGTTGCTTAAACTAAATTAAATACATAGTTCATATTTAGCTAACAAATAATCTATTTTTCTTTTAACAACCAAAGAACGTTGTTTAAAATTAAAAACTCAAAAAATTTATAGTCCAGATTTACTAACAAAAATATACCCAATTTTTTTTAACAACCAAAGAACGTTGCTTAAACTAAATTAAATACATAGTTCATATTTAGCTAACAAATAATCTATTTTTCTTTTAACAACCAAAGAACGTTGTTTAAAATTAAAAACTTAAAAAATTTATAGTCCAGATTTACTAATAAAAATATACCCAATTTTTTTTAACAACCAAAGAACGTTGCTTAAACTAAATTAAATACATAGTTCATATTTAGCTAACAAATAATCTATTTTTCTTTTAACAACCAAAGAACGTTGTTTAAAATTAAAAACTTAAAAAAATTTATAGTCCAGATTTACTAACAAAAATATACCCAATTTTTTTTAACAACCAAAGAACGTTGCTTAAACTAAATTAAATACATAGTTCATATTTAGCTAACAAATAATCTATTTTTCTTTTAACAACCAAAGAACGTTGCTTAAAATTAAAAACTTAAAAAAATTTATAGTCCAGATTTACTAACAAAAATATACCCAATTTTTTTTAACAACCAAAGAACGTTGCTTAAACTAAATTAAATACATAGTTCATATTTAGCTAACAAATAATCTATTTTTCTTTTAACAACCAAAGAACGTTGTTTAAAATTAAAAACTTAAAAAATTTATAGTCCAGATTTACTAACAAAAATATACCCAATTTTTTTTAACAACCAAAGAACGTTGCTTAAACTAAATTAAATACATAGTTCATATTTAGCTAACAAATAATCTATTTTTCTTTTAACAACCAAAGAACGTTGTTTAAAATTAAAAACTTAAAACATTTATAGTCCAGATTTACTAACAAAAATATACCCAATTTTTTTTAACAACCAAAGAACGTTGCTTAAACTAAATTAAATACATAGTTCATATTTAGCTAGCAAATAATCTATTTTTCTTTTAAAAGAAAATTTTTGAAATAATAGTCTATGTCCTCCAAAACTAAAAATCCATAAAATTTTTTTTTTTAAAAAAAAAAAACAATTATTTTTAAAAAACAAATGCCTAACAATAGTTCAATAGATGAGGACTTAATAAACTCAGAAAACACAGTTTGTATTTTATTAGCAACCGGAGTTAATAAATTAAATAAACCAGAGTTAATTTCTGAATTAAAAAAAGAGGCCTAATAGACTCAGGCATTGTCCCTGAACTAAAAACTAGACTACTAAAATATCTCAACGGAGAATCCTTACCTACGGATTTCTCCGCTTTTGAAGAACATAATTTTGCTCCAATTATTAACGTCGGTAAAATAAATAGAATGGAGAGTAAAAAACCATATTTCGACCCAGGTAGATTCTCGGGCTCCATTTCCGAAAATATTGATTCTTTCCTAAAAAAATATAATAGGGCAGCATCCATTAACGGGTGGACCAATGATGATAAATCCCAATATATAGCCGCATGTCTAGAAGGATCAGCCTT